AGGTACATAAAACGGATAAATGATAATCATCTATAATGATTATTAATTACAATGTCTACGACGGAAGCTAGTAATTAATTTATACTACTATTATACAGAGAAATGTTAATTGGATGGTTAAATGACTCATCAACGTAAAGCCGCAACTACAGAAATTAACACGAATTTTACTTATAACAAATTCTAGATCACTGTAAAACAGACAATGAAAATTTTATAAGTGTAAAATAGTCAATGAAAGTTTGATGATTGTAAAACAAACAATGAAAGTTTGATAAATGTAAAATTGACAATGAAAGTTGATCACCTTCCACAGACTGTTGGACAAATTTAGAATTATATTAATACTTTTGGATGCTGTATAACCTAATGAATTAACCTTCATACATCACCTTTGGAAACAATCATACCATGATCATCATCATCATCAGTATCATATCAGCCAAAATCTATTTACTGTTGAACATAGGTCTCCCCCATAAACTGCCTTAAGGAACAGCCCCGAGCCACCTGCATCCACTGACTTCCTGCAATGCATTTGAGGTCGTCACTCCATCTAATAGGGGACCGTCCTATAATATATTTACTCTTACGGGGTCGCCACTCAAAAACCTCTCTTCCCCATCGGATATCGGTTCTTCGAACTATATGATCAGTCTATTATTACCACTTCTACTTGCTTATCCTTCGTTCCTTAAACAATCACAATCATAGTTAAATCTAGGTGAAATTATCACGATGAGCCGATTGATTTGACTTCATTCTTACCTATTTTTCCTCACTGGTACTCTGTCAGATTAAAGAAAATAATTCCTATAATAAATCAGGCCTCAGGAAATATTTACCTTATTGTTGTCTTATTTCATTTAAATATTTATTATTCATTGACAATAGTATATATTTTTTTTATAATAATTTAAACGACGAAGGAAGTGAAATAGATACAATTAAATATGTCGTATAAGTGATTGATAAGATTTTTTTTCGAAAATCAAGAAAATAAAAAATATAAGAAGTAAATTTTTTTACATTGTCTTAAGCAGTAATGATTTCACTAAGCACCGGCGAAATCAATTGCATAAAAATTGCACAAATCGTTGCAACATTTCCAGTATATTTTCTAAACGGTATTTCTATTAGTAGTAATCAACTCTAAGGATCAGATATTGTGTCACTGTGAGTAGATTGTTATTGGCAATCAGTCATACCTGACTGACCTGACTTCTGTCAATTTTCTTGTAATTATTATATTCTATTCAAATGCCAATAGTACTTGCACTGAAACTGTGATGACGAGTAGTAATTATAAAGATATGATTTTATAGTTTTACTATTTATGCTAACATTCGATTTTAGCTGGCAAAAATTCTAAATTTGAAATTTAATCCAATAACTATTATTAATGCTATTTGCCTATATTTCCTACTGACTATATCATACCCGTGGCTTTCAGAAGTACAAAAAAATCAGTAAAATAGGTCATCTCTAGATGGCCTATTAAGATGAAACACACGATAGATATTAAGTTAGACCATTAGGAACTTAAATGTAAAAATTTTATTTAATTTAGTGCAACAATTTTTTAATAATGCTGGAACAAACAAAGTCAGACAGACAGATAGACAAAATTTCTATAAATTATTGTTTCGTCATTAATCGATCTTATTGAGATCCCACGTATTATTTTTCTTAAATATCTCCCATGTACAGACATCGTCTATTTACAATTTTATTATATTAGTAAGATAAGATACCTATATAAGATATCCCTAAACCACAGATAATATAATACTATACTAGTACCTAAAGTAACAAACAAGTTGTCACAGTTCAATTAATCAGTAAAAAAAATATTTATTACAGACTGTGTGTACAAACATGTTTACATTTAAAAATAACTTGCGCTATCTATAAATAGATAAGACTAGAAGTGGATGTAAATTGCATCAAATAAACAGCACTCTGAACCGAGATCGTGTTTAATATCAATCATTAGGGCTTCATTATTAATTTAATTGTAATATACACACATTTGTATGTATTTCGAATAATAATTTTCTGAAAAGTTACATAATAACTTAGAAACAAACACTTATAAAAAACTATCCAGACAAATATAAAACCTCCTTTTTTTATATCGGTTAAAAAAGGAAAAAGGACATACAAATTTTCTCAACGACGACTGTATATTGTACTATTGTAATTTTGCTGAAATAAGCAAATGAAGCAAAATGCATTAACGAATCAATTTTATTATAAACAAATCAAATAAATTTCACGGGTTTTTTAATAAATGATAATGGAATGGCGTGGTTAGCCCACCTGCAATAACGGTTTACGCTATCGGGGTACCAGTGAGGGATGATAAGTGAAGATGAAAAAATAGGTCAGTTGGCCCGTCGTGACAAACATACACTGAAGTCCACTTCAGCACGATGATTTCCACGTGGAAGTCGGAACTGATTGTCCACATTACTAACAATCCCTTCTCCCCCAAATCTTGTCAAATTGCACTGGAAGTACATAAAACAACCAAATTAATAAAATGCTTCACGAAATTGGAACATTCCTTATAGATAAGTGTTATTATCATGAAACTGAAATTATTTTTATTATTATATTATTGAAATATATTAAATAAATCATGGGAAGTAAATGATTTTATTTTTACGTAAAAGATGGAACAATTTTTAGTGCAGATTGTTAAGTGAGTCGAAATATTTATCTTTTTAATAATGTAGTAATAGTAATATAAAAAATAATATAATATGATTTATAGAAATATAACGTATCGTTTCTGTAATAAATATAGGTACGACAAATATTCTTCAATTCAGGAATGTTTATCGGACTAATAGAAAGATTTAGCATAACATTGCAGTTGCACAGTACGTCTCTTTAAAACTAGGTCGCAAAAATAAAACTAATCGATTAGAAATACTCAAAAATATCACTAACCTAATCTTATCTGAATCATGTTTTATATGATTCATTCAAAAAACCGTATCGATAACATATTTACTGGTCGCGTGGCACCGTTTGAACAATATAAGTTAATCATATATAGAGATATAGATCACAGATAGATTATTACAATTTTCTTATTTCAATTTTCTACTTAGCTTACTGGTAATATTAGTCAAGCTGAGAAATAAACATTTTTTTTTTATATAACTTAGAATGGCAAACAAGCTGACGGCCCACCTGATGGAAAGTGGTAACCGTCGCCTATAGACATGAGCAGTACCATGGACATAACAGAGTATACTGTTTCGCCCATGATACCCCCCATACAACAAACAAAAACCTAAAGGTAAATAGTAAAGACAAAATTATTTATATTTTTTACTGAATTAGGTGTTATTTTGGGGAAGTTTTCAACCGACTTTAAAAAGGTTCTCAATTCAATACAATTTGAATACAATTTTTAATTATGTAATCAACTAACCAAATTATTTTTATCAGTGGATAGGTATTTACCTACAATTACATAAATCCATAAAGAAAGATTACGAAAAATATTCCTAATCTTAAACTCAATAATAGACTAAATATGAAAGTAAAAATAAAATAAAATTGTAAAAGTAAAATTTCTTTACCATCTAAACGACTCGACCGATATTGATACAATCCAATCAAATCAACTCCTAAATAGGTGAAATGGGATAATATGTATTCATGTAATAATGTATTCATTCTGTGATAAAAGTTGTTAAACATTACATAGAATACATACATGAAATTGGTGAAATATTATGTAGTAATCTGCTTATTTACACATTTTATCTAAAGATAAATACTTATATCAAGAGTATAATTGATTTAAGTATTTTAATATTTAAAATAATATGTTTATTATCGGCTATGTAAATGTTACGGTAGTTGAGTGTATTCGGCAAACACGATGCGATGCCGTGATCACCCAAAGTATTTTTTATTTACATTCAATGCAAATTAGATACGTGTGTTTACGTGCTTAACTTAGGCAATGATTTTAAACGTGTTATGAAAGATTATTTAATAACAACAAAGGTACACTTTTTAGTTTTAAATTTTAATGCCTTTTACAATATGTTTAAATGAATTAATAGATCAGTAGTCAGATCATCGAATGCACTAATCAAATCCCACGTAAAATAATTAGATACGTAATCTCTATATTATTCTGTATTTAGAATATTCAGAGCAAATACAATACATACAGACGACACACCTGACTCCTCAATAAAGAGCTTAAAATATCTTGAGTGAGAAGTTTAAATTATCTTAGAATAAACTATAAAAATTATCATAAAAAAATATTTAATAGTGGACTTTGAAGTATCTATCATGTAGCTAGTAGTAGTTTCTCTTCAACGAATCTCCTTACAATACGATGATTAAAATTCTAAAGGCTATTTACTTATCTTCAGGTTATATCCATTACAAATAAGAGTGCGTATAAAATAAATTCAAAAGGACTTTATCTCTGCATACCAACACAACAAATAAGGTCCCTTCATCCACTTACATAAAAGGGCTTTATTTATTTGTGTATGTCTAAGACGACTTATGAACTTTCATTAGTCGTCTTACGCATACACGTCGATCTTGTATTCTTCAGACTGTACATGATCTATCTGATCATGGTAAAGTTCAGTTTTCGCTTTGTATACCTACTTTAAACTATTAAATGTGGCAAATGAGGAGACAGCCCACTGATGGAAAATAATAGTGATTATGGAATCATGATTTATAAAGATTAAAGAAAACAGTATGCAAATTTAATACTCTTTTAAAAACTTTAGTTTGTAAACAAAGATATGTCGCTATTTGTTTGAAAAATTGCATTGGCAACTTATTCTTCAAAACGAAAGACAACAACGCGCGCGTAATGCGAGTTACAAAAAACTCTACCTCCTACATTTCTTTGTGAAACCAGAATTCAATTTTTTTGTATTTTGCATGTTGTTGTGCATTTTTTAGTCCAGTATTCATATATAGGATTTTTAAGCTTTTACCTTTTTGAATGTACCTAGTTTGTTGATCATAGAATTCAACTTTAGTGAAATACATGTATGTGTGGGTCACGGACACTGGGCAACTAAATGAAGCCGCGTATTACTAGGCACATGCGCCACGGCCCTTGTTGGTGTCTCGATACTGTGATCACTCGCTTGCCGGGTGCCTACGTGACGTCGCCCTCGTGGCGCACCGCATGGAGGGGACCAGCCGGTTTGTTTTGTTGCGTGCGCATCGATATTAATGCGGAAATAAACGATGTCGATAAAGTAAATTAGAATTATAAAAAATAAACTATAAACAGTCTAATATTCGACATAAAATTATTAGAATATCTAATATTTTTAGCATGATTTAGCTATCTACAATTTATGGTTGAGTAAGAAAATGCTTCTCTATAATATATTTAGGGCAAAAATTGGATATCTGAAAATATAGTTCGATATTATTAGACGCTGATGTTTGATCAAGTTGAAAATTAAAATCATAATATTTAAATCGTTTCAATGTGAATTAGCAAATAATTTCAAATGCCAAAAAGATTATAAATTAGTCCTCAAATAATCATTACAAATGCATTGTCTCTTTATGTTAAAAGTATAAGTCTATTCCAAACTTACTTTGGAAATAAAACTGCTAACGAGTAATCAGAGTTATTACTATAAGTACGTAATTACTGAAAAAAAAATGTACAAAAAATAATATTTCGATGTCGATAATACGAACGTAAACATTACAAACATCACTATTGCCTTTTTTGAGTAGCACTGGAACGGGCAAGAAGACAAAACAACAAAGAACCAGTCGGTCATACGAACTCGTTGTGATCAGACGGTGAATACTTGCGATAAGGCAATCGTGTTGTTATATTTCAGTAATTAATTTTCTAAAATATTTTTAATAACTATATGTAATCTCGGAGTATTTTTAAAGTAGAGATTTAAAAAGAACAAGAATTTCAATATGTTTGCGACAAAGAAAACTTTGGAGAAGTTATTGCAGATTTATCAAAAGGAGATCCGCCGGCAGATCAGCATGACTGTCAGCGTTACTAACTCGGACGCGATGGCTCCGAGACTAGACCAGACGGTGACCAAGCCCCAGCCAAATGAAGAAACGGGACTTCCTAAGAAGTTGCTGAAGTTGCAAAAATATCACAGGTCAGTGAACCCGAGTAACCGGGACGACACTACACTTTGCGTAACGTTGGAAGCCATGTCGTCTAATAATAATATGCATACAAACTCTTACCGATGATAAACAACATGCACAGTGTCAAAATTACGTAGTTTTTATCATTTCGTATACCATTTCGTCGATATTTATTATTATTTTCTAGGGAGGTACTGGCCTTTTAAAAAACGTGCATAATGTACTCTTAGATATGTTTTTACGAAGTGTTCACCCGCATCTGTGTGTGAAGTGAGCACCAAACGATTTTGGGACAGGCACAGCCTACCTGGCCCCCTCTAAACATTCCTATGTTTACAAATTACTTAACATGCGGTGTTTAAACAACTCTCTGTAAATTCAATACAATGAAGTCCATACTTTAAGCAATACATACTTCTTAATCTCTTTATAATTTATTAATTACTGATATATATTTGGAATCTAATATTATTAGATAAGTACAATTAAGTAATAATAAATTAAACTGGTTCATTAGGTAATAAAAGGCATTATGGTAGGTACAGCATATTAGGTAGTTATTTTTTAATGGATAAAAATGTAATTGTAATAACATTTAGTACAGCATAATAACTTCACGATGAAAAGAAACTAAAGCTAAAAAGTACCTGCCTTAAATGTTTTAATGTAATTATTTTTGTTTATCAATGGACCAAATTTCATTTAAATCCATCCAGCTATTTCTGCAGGATCATGTAACAAATACCCAAATATCTAAACTTTCACGTTAAAACTAGTAATTTCATAAATAATATTAAACAATATTTTTTCTCTTTTAGTAAATTATTCATTATTAACTATATTTTTAAATCATAAATTTTCATAAGTATAAACAATTACTGCATACGTTTTAGGTACTCATATATGTAGGTACTTATATATGTAGATAATCTTACTAATTAATTTTAGAAAGTTGCACCAAGACATTATCAGACGAGAAACACACTTTCGCCGAGTCCTTTATTTTGAGTAATAGTCTGTGTCTACATACCTACCAACAAACAAGTATCCAACTGAATTATTTATATTTATAGTGATTGGAATTAAAAGTAACAAAAATATTATTATTATTATTGACTGAAAACTCGACTTCGACTTTTTTTAGTATCTATAGATTATCTTAATACAAAACTAAATAAACTTAATAGGCCTTCTTTTTACATCAATTAAATAAATATTGAAAAACATTTTTATCAAAAATTGTAAATACAATTTATTCTATTGCTGTGTCTGGGTTGGAGAAAACAAAACTTTTTTAATCTATAGATTCCTGTCAAGCCTGACTCCTCAAGAAATGCCAATGGCGACCCGTGGACTGTCCGTCTCCAAGGACCAGTCTCGGGAGTTCATGGCTTGCTTCCCGGACATCGTGAGGGATCTTACGGAGACAGGCAAGCACATTGATGTGCCAGAAGCCACCAAGTGGTTGGCTAAGGTACGTTCTTTGTCGCTTCTGTCTGTTTATTGTTACAAACAATACAATCAATTGAACTTGTTAAAGCTTATACGTTTTGTTGTTTGTATATTTCCGTATTAGATATTATAAGAATCTAAATATTAAAATTTTATCTTTATTTTTAATATATTAATAATGTAAACAAACAACAAACATCTTTTGATAGTTCTGTCTGTTAGGAATTTTTGATTCCCTTGTTCAAGGCTAACTGGAAAGTTATCTATGCCGGTGTTAATTAAATATTGAAATGTTTATTGTCTCTATTGATTAAAAAATATAGGTATAGCGATGTGTCGCTTACATGGACTTCATCAAGTTAAAACCACAATAGGAATTTGCAATGGGAAAATGGATATAAAAATAGACAAGTTTTTGAGTTCGATTATTACAGATGTACTACTTATCGTCTTACGAGTATTAAAAATATAAATAAACAATATAAACCTAACTACTTAAATACATACCTACTTCCTCATCTCGGTCAATAATATATTAATGGGTATCGACCGAATAAATAGTATGTTGTTCCCATACCGAGAAACGAAGCCCATATTAATAATAATTAAAAAATAGACAAACATCATATATTACAATAAAAAAAAACTAAATCAATATATACTTTTTTATTCATGCCTAAACGAAAATTCAGACATTCTATCCTTTTATGTACTTACTTGTTTAACATTAAGAAATGTGCTAAGTGAATACATTGTTGTTACAGCTATTACAATACAATGTTCCTAACGGAAAAAAGAATCGAGGCCTTGCCACCGTGCTCGCTTACAAAATGCTCGAGAAACCTGAAAACCTCACACCAGAGAATATACGTTTGGCCAACATAATGGGATGGTGCACAGAAATGGTAAGATGATGCATAATTTAAGATTCAATATTGTGCTGATATTTTTTATGACAATATTCGTTTAGAATTGGTGAAGGAATCGCATAAAAATACGTAAAGCAATAGCAGTGTACCAATATTCAGGGCCAATACTATTTTTATCTAAAATAAGGTTGCAATTTTCGTGACCTTGTGATTTTTGATAAACCAAAATAAGGTCACCAAAATGGGGATGTTTTTATTTTCGATGTTTATTACTACATTACGGTAACTTTAATAAAAACCGCCGAAATAATAATAAAAATGTAATGACTTCAACTATTATACTTATCTGCATTATACTCGTACATTTCTCAAATACTAAAATTGACAACTAAATATCCTAAAATGTTACATGATAATAATTAAAAAATTTTTTTTTGAGTAAACCAAAACATTTCTACAACAGATCCATTTTTCCAAAATCTTTCCTAAAACTAATTTGTTCTTCATTTTCCCCATACAATAATCTAGCAACGCTGCCAATTTCAATCAAATTCTTTACCCATTTATGCATAAGAGCGTACAATCATATAATACAACCTAACAAATATCCAAACTAAATAATGTTAATACAAATCGTGCTGAATTCCTGGTGTATTATTCACGGTGAGCTAATCTGCCTTCTCTTCTCATCTATCATCCCTCACTGGCCACTGATCCCCGCCAGCGTACACCGTTAACGCAAGCGGGCTTACTATTCTATTGTCATCCAAAAAAAAAACTATCTGCAATCGGGACGCTCAGGTAGTCAATGAATATGACTAGATATTGTATCATACTTGGAAATGAAATAAAAAGGTCAGGTATGTTCTAAGTTCATAGAAATATACTGTGGGTACGTCGATTGTTGTTACAATAATAAAGAAGAAGAAATTGAAAAAATCATTATAAGTACGTACTTACATATAACTATTAAAAAAAACGGGTTCATTCCATTTAGAAATCCAGTAGACTTGTTTATGTTAAAAGCTGTTCATTGCAAAATTGTAAACAGTAAAACACAGTAACACCAAAAAATATTTGGTGCTACCAGTTGTAGTATTAGTTTTGTATACATAAGTGTTATGTTAATATTTTTTAAGGTACCCATAGGTATAAGCATTGTTTTCATTTATGTCAATTTCATTTAGGTCAACCATTGTTTATGAGAAAAAACATTGTTTTTCAAGGTTTACTATACGTAATATACATATCTATTACATCCTTGAAATTTATACAACAATAAGAAATTTATTAAAATTTTATTACGTTTGATTGGTTGAAATCTATAATATATAAATATTATACAAAGGAAATTTTTTATTGTTTGTTTGTAATGAATAAACTCAATACTATTCAACCGATGTTAAAAAATCTTTCACCTATAGAAAGCTACATTGTCAGAAAATAACATAAACTATACAATATTTCCGAAAATTCTATCGACCCGTGCGAAGCTAGGCCAGATCGCTAGTCGTTGGTATATTGGCAAAAGGTAGTATTAAGCTTTTTAATCACGAACAGAAAAAATAAATATATAAAAAAAATGGTCATTACGATAGGGGACTATGGTCGTAGTAGTAAAAAGAAACATACAAAAAAAAAGGTATGACATATCTACCTGTTAATATTCTGTCCTGTAAGAATAACAGTTTAGATAAAAATAAAAATACGGGATACGAAATCTTACGTTATGCCAATATTACAAATAATACTGTCTAAATTAAAACTAGACAAAAATAAACAACATTTCAATCATGACAAAATCACCGAGATAAAATCTAATCGAATTGTATAAACATCATCAGAGCATTGTTAAAATATTCTTTTTGGTATAATTACACTATACAATAATATAGTAATATATTATTATTATTATGTACCTAAATCGTATAGTCATAAATACAGGGGAAAACAAAATGTGGCCTCACTAAACTGCGCACTATTTTGGATTCAAAATATGATAACATTATATAATAATACTTATAATACTTATACTATTTACTGTAGTGATAAATACCTACCGTAAATAAATTGTAAATAAAACTTAAGTTTGTTTCTCAAGTAACAATGTCTATTAGAATGGCAACAAAAGCAAAGTTTTTTATAAGGCAAATACTTACTTGTATGAACAGTGGCATTGAAACTTTGTTTATCCAAGCTAACTATAAAACTGGTCCATTCTTTATTTAATTTCACACATGTATACCTACGTACCTACATATATAGGCATAAGAAGCAATACTTACCTATTACTTCATCCAGGAAGTTGTTATATATCTTTTTATTGAACATTAAAATCTCCGATTGTTGTTTAAAGTCATAACTGACTTAAAAAAAGAAAGAGGTTTTTATATATACATTTTTTTTATATCTCTATATCTTCACTAATGAGAAACTAAATTGGATTTTTTGCAATCGAGGTCTATATGGTCCTATTTTTGTCTCTTGTTTTGATTTTCATCATTTATCATGATTAAAGTCGATTTTTATTTGAGGAACAAAATCTTAGAAGACATACTTTTTCTATTTTAATACCTTGCCTAATAGGACTTGACTTGACTTCAATTTTTTTTTAAATACCCCATAAATATTTAACAAGTTTCAATTTGTTTTAAACAATTTTTAAATTAGTAAAAACTTATACAGATTTAGAAAATATCAAGATTATATTCATGTATACACAATTGTTTTGTCTACTAAACATGTCTATATATGTAATATAAATAATTTCTTTTAATTTCAGTTCCACACACACCATCTCCTGTTAAATGACATAATGGAGGGCACGGATATGCGCCGTGGTACACCATGTTGGCACCGTCGCCCCGATGTTGGTCTTGGTGGTATCAACGATGCAATTCTGGTTCAAACTGCAATGTACTCCACTCTTAAAAAATACTTCAGCACTAAGCCTTATTACAAGAATGTATTGGAGACCTTCAATGAGGTAATTTTTTCTATAGCAACTAAAAACATCCGCTATCCCTTTTAATACAATCTTCAAAGTTCATATCCTGATCAAAGTTGTTAATCGTTAGTAGTTATATACAGAATCATTAAATCGAATTATTAGCATCCTTTTATAGGGGTATTCTACCAATGAATGTCATGTTAGTTGAGCCTCTCAACTAACATGACGTTAATACACCATGGTGGTGTTCATTGTATGTCCTTTTTAAATTTACTTTCTTTTAAATAAATACTTTAGTTTCATTTGGAGAACACTCCCTTAAAATAATTATATTATTGTATTAAAATTCGTTCAAAATTGAGCATGCAAAGAGCATGGTCCATACAACCTAGTCATAAGTTACTATTAGTTCTTCAAAACTAAGGAGAAAATTATTTCATCCGTAATTTATATAACTCTTTGTAGGAGTTGTACGTACCAAGCGTCGAAATTTATTGTTAATACATTTCTACTCAAATGAAATCTTCTTATACATAAATTGTAAATTCTTAAAATAATGATAACGATTTAAAGAAAAAAAATAAAGATTTTTTCCGTTATTTTTTTTAATGGAAGAAATTAAATCATTTTTTCACCTATGCCTAATTGTTGCTAGCAATGGCAAAAATATAAATTACAGAAAATAATACTACCTTATTTTGTTAATAGGAATAAAAAGCTTCTGTACGCATGATATTTACATTACTACATAAAACAAAAAACAATTTTTTATGCTTATATTTACAGATGCTGCTTAAATGTTCCACCGGCCAATATTTAGAAAAATCAATGTCAAAAACCGATAAGCCGGACTTATCACAATTCACAATGGACAAATATGAAGCGATTACAAAATACAAGACATCTTATTACACTTTCCAAATGCCAGTCACTCTGAGTCTGCTAATGACCGGCGTCAACGATCCTGAAACTCATAGACAAGCTAAAGCCATTTTATTAGAAATGGGCGAGTTCTTCCAAATACAGGTGAGAAAATCATATTTACTATCATAAAGTCGGAAACAATATTCCAAATAAGTAAAACATATTATATTTTATACTGTTATGGTACCAAACAAGCATACAGTCCGTCTGATAGTAAACGGTTAAGGTGCCGCTGCAACACCAGGGTGTTGACCCTTAATAGACCTTCTTAAGCCCTTTTTGAAGACGCTGCCAACTCTAAGAACCCCTGCATGTAGTCTAGGAAAGTGAAAACCGTTACCTATAGACAAGAACAGTACCATGGACATAACAAAGTATACTGTATCGCCCTTAATACCCTTCATGCGTTGCATGCAAGGTGTTATCTTGCCCTTTAAACAAAATACAGCCATGCAAACACAACTAATGCACAACAGAGACACGAATGGAACAGAGATACCCGAGCAGACGACTTCTGTACAGAGTCTTCCTGTAGTGAATTTATTTATTTATTTATATAAGCCACAAAAATATATATCTGTATTATAGAACAGATTAGAAGATGTCCTTTTATTTCACTGAAATGAACAAATGACGCAAAATAATCCACATTGAAAATTTTAAATAAATTTGATTATTTTAAGTTAATTAATTTCACATGAAATTTCTTAAAGAGATTTTACCATATCTTGCTAAGAGGAGACGAGCTCCAAATTTATAAAAAAAACCATGTAAGCTATCAACGTCTTTATGCTTTCTAATTACCACCAAATAAAGATTACGCTCTCTAAACATCGATCACTACCTAATAAATGAATGCTATAATACTTTTCATAAAGTTTCAAAATGCAAAGAAGCTGATCACCCCTTGATAAAAAGTAGTTACTATCGCGTATAATATTGAAAACTTTAATATCTTATCAAGACCTTACATGTACTGCTAAATTCTATAGTGGCGTTGTTCCCCATGGTTTCTAAAACAAGATTAATTAATTTCGAAATATTCTGTTTTTAGGACGATTTCCTTGACTGCTTCGGAGATCCAGCTGTCATAGGCAAGAATGGTACTGACATACAGGATGGTAAATGCACATGGCTAGCTGTAGTAGCACTACAGAGAGCTACACCCGCCCAAAAGCAAATTATGGAAGAATCTTATGGTAGCGACAAACCAGAGGATGTTGCCAGAATCAAAGATTTGTATGAAGAACTTCAGCTCCCTCACACATACTCAGTATATGAAGAAGCCACATATGATCTCCTTAGGACACAAATCCAACAAGTCACAAGAGGATTGCCACACGATTTATTCTTCAAAATATTAGATAACATCTTCCGACGAAGTATTAATTGAACTGTTGTTTATTAATTTTAAGGTTAGATTAAGTAGCTTATAATTAATTTTAATATAAATGTAACCACTTTTTATTTGGATTTATTAAATGTAAAATGCGTTTATTATTATGGTTATCCTCTGCAAATCTGTTTTAAAATTATATACATACTAAATTTTACTCGCGACTTTGTCCGCGTAACCGAGATACGTTGATTCACCGAAATAAATAGTAGGCCCTATATTTTCCATGCCAAAAAATACGGGTATATCCAAAGTTCATGACGATAAACTAGGCCATTAAAGCGCCAGAAGGTAAAAAAAAAATTTCACATTTATAATATTAGTAAAGATTCATATATTAAAATAATTACTTACCTCTGAACTCAAAATGCATTTATCTTATTTTGTCTACTTGCAAAAAAATATATTAATTAAGGATTACTCATACAGCCTAGACTAGATAATGTAATATTACCTACTTAAAATAATATCTTTTTATTATATAAGTTAGGTACAACCTTCTTACTTACATCAGGAAATACTGTCTAGTACTGAAATAAAAAAAAGTGATTGATAATATTGTGTTTTAATTAATGGAATCTCTAAAACTTTCTGATCAATAGGAATAGCCGGATAACTTTTCTACGATGTTGCAGAGGAAGAAAACCTATACTAAAATAAATTCATGTGTATATTCTTTATTGCACTTGCAAATTACATTGTAAATGCATTTTTTTTTTATACAACAGAATGGCAAACAAGCTGACGGTCCACTTGATGGAAAGTAGTAACTGTCGCCTATAGACATGAGCAGTAAAATGGACATAACAGAGTATACTGTTTCGCCCATGATACCCCCCCCCTGCGTTGTCATTTCTGAGGACTCGGGTGTTATTCCTCTATATTCTGTAAATTCACGCCATATACCACCGAAACAGCAATGCAAACACAACTTTACGGTTGAAACACGAATGGTATAGAGGTACCCAAGCAAACGACTTTTGTACAAAGTTTCCCTCTGGTAATATTAATATTGTAATTATTATTGCATTTATTAATATTGTAAACAAGAGTAAATTTATCTCTGACAGATGTCTCTTCCAGTCAACCCAATACAGTTGGAAAGCATGTCGTTAGCTGGCAGCTAAAGTGCACATATGTATTGATTATACATAAACCAAAATACAAATAAACAGTTAAATGAAATATTAATATATATAAGACTAATACATAAATACTTATACTATAAATAAATAAAATACCTAGCTTATATAATAAATGTTAAAATAAATGAATACACTACCTACATTAGAAATTTAGTTTACTTCAAAATTTGACAATTCAATTTGAAAAATGAAAAGTTAATAGTACGACTCAAGGGAAAGAAAATGCAATTTCAACTTTTTCTTGAAACAGGTAATAGAAGGACTCTTTTGTATATGAGAAGGGAGTTTGTTTCATAATTAGGCAACTCGATACGAGAAAAAGTTACCTACTTGTATCCTTTTCCCATTTTGGTAGTTGGAGTGATCAATAATAACTATAATCTTTGTAATACCCTAATACTCGTAGGTCGGGGGAAAGGGATTGTTAGTAATGGAGACTGAGAATCCCATTGCTAGCAATATACCCAACCAGGTCGACCTTCTCACGGTTCTCCCTGGAAATTATCATGGTTAATTCTTTATGAATTCATCATGATGTGCTAACTGACCTGTTTTCATTCTCATCTATCACCCTTCACTGGTGCTCCGCCAGCGTACCCCGTTAGCGCAGGCGGGGATACCATACCATTTTCACCCATAAAAAAATACTCGTAGGTCGATCTCCAAGCTTTTCCTTTGGAAAGTATCGTAGTTAATTTTTTTAGGATAGGCCAACTGATCTGCTTCATCCCTTACTGATGCCACCTCCCCACAACTTATACCGATAGTGTTGGTATTGATCTGGTATCCATTCCAAAAATACTACTCTACTGCTTACCTCTATAGGCGACGGTTATCACTTTCCATCAGGTGAGCCATTAGCTTGATTTAATCTGTCTTTTTTGCCATTCTAAATTGCATAAAAATACGTGCTTTTCTAAAAAGTATGTCTAATTTGCGTGCAGAAGTCTACAATTTAAAACTAGCCTACCTACAATTGTAATTTATAATTTGTAGACCCTTAAATTAGTAACATCTAAGTGGAGGATTTGCTACAAATGCTTTGAACGACGCCGATTTTTTCACAATAGCCCTACAGCAAGTAATTAAGCGCGGAACAGCGACATATTGCAATTTTGACCAAAGAGTGATATATTTTTGTAATTTTTTAATTTTGCATCATATCCGACAGTTTATAGAATTGATTCGCATAGTTTTTGTTGGATTTACATCGTTAGTCTTTCAGAAAATAAATAAAATGAACACTATTTCATACACACCTGAAGAGTATATTTATATAGGTTTATTTAATAAATATATGTATATAATAATTATAACTATATATAAATATATCACAGCTTTTATTATTATTTTAATAATATTACAAAGGATGAAATCAAAATCGTTAGTCGTATATAAAAGTAAAAATCTACCTGTGGTATGGAAGATATTAAAACACGAGAAAAAGGGAGGTTTCCTACCCATGGGTGTCGTTCGTTCAAATTGTATTTTCGATTTTGAATTTTTGATTTGCGTTATTTTTGTCTGTAATGTGTATTGTGTGTAATTTGACCTATTCTACACCGGGACCACACGACGATACACATCCCGGCATATATAGTTATTTATACTCAATCACGCAGTATACGTAGCAGTATGTTTGTTAAGGTTTATTATTTAATCAAGCTTAAATAGTTTAACGGATTTATATAAAATTTGTATATCTTAATACATTAGATAGTTATTCACGTAGATGAAGCCGAGGAAAATAGCTAGATTTTTACAAGAATATTTTATAATTAAATTCTTATAAGAAAATTATTACTGTTGAAAAACATGCACTTTAAATAAAATCATTATAAAACCCTAAATGGTATAACGGTTTTCACATTACTTCACCTTGATGTTCGGGTATTCGATCACCGTATAATAATAAAACTAAATAGTCAACTATTCAAACACTATTGTATAATTACTTTGTGAAGTCTTTGGGACAATTAAAGAAAGATATATTTTACTTTTTTACATTATTTTTCTTGCACACTGTACTGTGCATTAAATGATTGCTCGTACATGAATATACAAACGTACACCGTAAAGCCATAGAATAGATATTATACCCAGAAGACATAACACAATATTCACAGCAGTATCTTTGATATTCAATCTTGCTTAAGTAGCTGTGTGGATTTGAATGAAATTTGTCTATATTCCAACTTCATACATAAGACAATTTTTATACCAATTCTCACGGACAAAGGTGCGTAAAATAGCTAGTTTCTTCTAATAATATTTTTAGTGAAATTCTTCCAAAGAATTAAATACAATAAAATATGTACCATATACACTTCAAAAACATGTACTTTAAAAGAATCATGAAGCCTCGACAATCTAGTGATTTCACATCGTTTCATCTTCCTATAGTCCAGTATTCGATCCGCCGCACAATAAAAATATTTATATTTAAGTATATGACTGTATCAGTCTAGGTATTTTCTAAAGATATTTATAAAAAAAATAAGTTTGACCAATTTAGGTCTATTTTAGCCAAACTGAACTAAACTTAGTTCATTTAAATCAAGTCAGTTTAATAAAATTTAAACATATTTCGGCAAATTAATCAGATTAGGTAATTTTTTTTTAATGAAGTTAAAATAAAATACTGTGGTATCCCCGCCTGTATTATTTGTACACATTAACGACCAATTTGAATGAAAATAACAAAACACGTTAATACTATAATCTAACGTTAATACCCACTAATATCTAATTAAATTATAATTGCAAAAAGTTTCAGTTTCTATAAATAAGGGAATAAATCTATGAATATTTAAGTGTGTCTACTTTCAAATCTAAATCTACAGCTAAAAAATCTAAAAAAAAAATAGTCACATAATATTTATCTAGTAGGGTCTTTGTTATAGTTAAGAAACATATTTTTTTATTATTGTTTTTCACACTGTACAGTGCAATTTTTAATAAAACAGATGTATGCTGCATAGCCCTCAATTTGTGGCTCGGAGCAAGCCAGCGTAAACAGAATTATTCCAACACGTATATATTACACGCGCGAGGAGCCCTACGTAGACAAGCTTCGCTTGCTTGTAGGGTTCTTATCTCAACACTTACTTCCTAGTATCTTTCTTTATGAGCATTATGTGGTACAGCCTTCGATTTGTAGCACTGAATAAGCCAACGTAAACCAGAATATTTGGGGGGAAAGGGATTGTTAGTAATGGAGACTGAGAATTCCATTGCTAGCAATATACTCAAGCAGGTCGACCTCCTCGCAGTTCTTCCTGGAAATTATCATGATTAATTCCTGATGAATTCATCATGATGGGCTAACTGGCCTGTTTTTATTCTCATCTATCATCTTTCGCTGGTGCTCGGCCAGCGTATCCCGTTAGCACAGGCGGGGTAACTACACCATTTTCACCTATCCAAAAAAAAACAGAATATTCCATGGAGAAGGGATTGTTAGTAACACGAACTAATAATAAAATAATAATAATAAAAATTAGTTTATTCATCTCCACAAATTACAATGTATAATAATATTACATTTTACTTTATACAAAATAAAAGTATCATAATTTGTGGGAGATCTGGAGCCTAAACTAAGTCGTAACTTGTATCTTAGACACCAGGTCCCCCCCCATATAAAGTATTGACAATTCAAAGTAAAAGGTAGTTGCGTGGAGTAAAAATAAATATGATTTAATATTAGAACAAAGAGGTGCGAGCGCGCACGCGCGCTCCTGTGTGTGTGTGTGTGTGTGTGTGTGTGTGTGTGTGTGTGTGTGTGTGTGTGTGTGTGTGTGTGCGTGTGCGTGTGTGCGTGTGTGTGTGTGTGTGTGTG